TCACCCTCTTCGCCTCACCCCCCCCCACCACTACCCCCCTCACCATTCTACTACTACTCAACAATCCCCCGGAGCTCAAGGGCAGCAAGGAGGTCTGGTTCAGGCTACTCAGAAAGCTGGCACTATGGGTCATATGGAAACGCAGATGCACGCAGACAATCGAGAAGACAGAAGGTGCAAGAGAGGAAATGTGGGCCGTGCTGCTGAGGATGGTGGAGAAGGAAATCCGGAGCAAATGGCGCAAGATAATCTCCTCTACAAAGCTAAGACCAGAGAGACAAGCCATCAAGAGGCGGACATTCCTGAGGGAGTGGTTGATAAAGGGCAAGATCGCCACCATAGCAGACAACAGGCTGGTATGGAAGAAGTGGTATCAATCAGATACGTCGGGACATTAAAAGGCAGATCATGCATCATCTACTCAGGAAGCCGGCTCTATGGGTAATCTGGAAGAGGAGAGGTACCAAGATGATCAAAGGAAATGAGGTGCCAAGAGAGAGACGGGTGTTCATTAGAGACTGGCTCCGACAGGGAAGGATTGCCAATGTGGCAGATAGCAGGCTGGTTTGGAAGAAATGGCACAGCACAAGGGCAGGGACCCAGTGAAAGGCAACTGAGATTATAATGTCAACAGTATAGACAACTCTCCTCTTTTCTTGCTTCATACGAATTATCTGACAGAGTCACAATAGACGCTGAGAGGAAAAGTGGAAGGGCAAGCTGACAGTCAATCCTCCTGATAGGGAGCAATCAATACTGGTCAGGGTTCCTTCGGCCAGACGGAAGGAAGCGTGAGAGTGTTTCACCATGTACTCCATTTTTGACTTGCCGATGGAAAGGAACCGGACTGACACTCCCCAGAATGGATATGGAGCCAGGACCATAAGGACCTGATTTAAATTGAAAAAAAAAAAAAAAAAAAAATCCTTCGGACACCAGAGCAATCAATGCTGGCAGGCGTTTTCTCAATTACTTTCCCTGAGGTCATCCTAAATATTTTTGTATATGGGACGCTGGAGCCGATTTCCAGCAGGTGACGCTCCCCACCAATAGATGGAGCCTCTCCCCGGGTGTTAGTGGTGTCTGTTTCGACCAGCACCACTAGCACTACAGGGGGCGTTGTTTCATGAATCCGAACCGACTTCAGACTTGCAGCCGCTCAGGTTTCTCTGTGTTCAAGCATGTTGTTGTTTGCTTGCTGTCTCTCGGGTCCACTTTTTTGTTAGTTTGTCAAACTTGTTATATGTTACGATCCTGGTCATTTCCAAAGTGCAAATTCACAATGAAAGACAATGCCACCCAATTGCAAAAGAAATGAAAGCACTTGCAAAGAGATAAAGACCAGAGGAGAGGTAAAGAAGAAGAAGAAGAAGAAGAAATACACCAGCAAGACCAATGACAATTCCCCCCTTCTTCCTCCACCTTCCTCCTTCCCCCTTCTCTTCACCAATCTTATTCTTCTCTCAATGATAATAAGAACAATGAATGGACGAACCAGAATCAATATCCGAAGTTCCCCCTTACTGCTGACTCAACTCACAACAACAACAACAACAACAGGTCCACCATGGCTATGTCTTCCCTCCTTCAACCTCTTCTCTCAAGCATAGGCCATGGCGGACTACTGGAAGGCAGCTATGATGCTGCCCTGATGCCTGAAAGACAACTCAAAGCAGCTATGTCGCTGCTTGACTTGGTCCGCTATGCCTGACCCTGCCTCGAGCTGCCCTGGTGCAGTGTTACCCCAACTGGGGCCTTCCAGATGCAGCGCCCAACAAGGTAATGAAGACGGTGTCCACCATAGCCAGGTAAGTGCCCTACCACTCTCCTACCATGTCCCCCTTCTTCCTCCTTCAAGCTGGGGTGCTCGCCATAGCCAGGCTGAGCCCCAGCAGACCTTCACCTCCAAGCAGTGCTGCTTCAGACCAGCGCTGYGCTCTAGCAGCATGTCGCCAATCCTTGCATACCGCAAATGAGGAAGAGCTCACCGCTCTTCCTGAAGATATAGCGGCCTACCGGCCTCCTGGGCGGTGACTTCCTAGGCCAAGCGGCCTCCCAGCAACCGGTACCTCCTCCCTTTTGGAGGGAAACATCATTCCAGGCTCTGTTATTGTCTGCACAGGCCCTAGACCCGGGCTACTTGGACTGGTACTGGCCTACCTCTAACCTACCACTACTGGGCCTCTAAAAATGCCAACTTTTTGTCTTCTTCTGCTCGGCCTACCTGCTACTTGAGTGTTTTTCCCCAGCTGCTCTAAGTGTCGTGGGCCTACTCCCCGCTACCGGCATGTTTACCCCCCTGCAACCCTTCAAAGTCACGGCCACAGGTAAGTACCGGCCCGGTGGGCCTTGCAACCAACAAGTACCCTGGCGGGTCACGCACATACCCAACCAGCAAGCACTCAGACAGGCATGCAACCCAGCAGGCACGCACACACACACAACCGGCAAGCACTCAGACAGGCATGCAAACCAGCAGGCATGCACACACACAGACTTGGGACCACAGCAGAATGCGGGAATCACAACAAGGCATTCATTCCATTGACAAATCCCAGAAATCAGCAGTATTCTCAGTCTGTGTTTTGGGCGGGTCATTACATTACTCCCCTCTCGAGAGCGAGGTCCCTTCGAGCGAGTAACTCAGTCAGAGTCGGCACAGAAGGCGTCATAGGCATAGATCAAAAAGAGAGTGTTAGTGAGTGGAGCGAGGTCCCTTCGAGCGAGTAACTCAGTCAGAGTCGGCACAGAAGGCGTCATAGGCATAGATCAAAAAGAGAGTGTTAGTGAGTCCGAACGGAGTGAGTTTTGCAGCAAACTTAGCGGTCTGTCCGTCAACAATCTGTCGTTCATATGCGTTCACAACACGTGGAGCACTCTTTATCAGTTCTTTCCGGTCGATCCAGA